TGGACAAGCCAATTCACCTATAACGTTATGAGTCATATTTTGATCTTGTTAATTATTCGCTTATTGACCTTGACTATTTTTTTATAATTTATTCTCAAATAACATTGTTACATGAGGCATGCCGGTTTACAGGCAAGATCAAATTGATAAAGAAGTTACAATTTTTACTGTTGAAAATTACTCAGTTGGGTTGATATTTCATAAGATATGAATGTAAATGGATTTCATAAGAAACATGTCAATATCAATATCACATTTGGCGCACTTTATGGAGGTAGCGTTGCAACATACAACTGATGTCCGAGAATGGATACATGCGAGGTTGGGGGCTTTTAGAAGTTTCGAACTTATGTCCCTCCAGAATATCGGAAGCATTAATAACGGTGTAGGACGAAGTCACCCGTGCCATTTCTGTTTTCGATGGAGTATCTGCAGGAAGCTGAAAAAGGTGTAAGAAAAAGGAAGGACGAAAAGCAGAGCACACAATTTTCATGGAGGAATAGTTAACGTATAACCATTTAGCCTATTTGTCTGTTAGTGAAGTATTTATTGGGTAAGAACATACTAATGTGTTAAAGAAAAATAAGTGTGAGCAAGGTATGAATGGATAAGGAACTGTATAAATGAAGGTAGTTTAGAAGGAAGTATGGAAATGTGTAATTATAAAATAAAGTGCTGAAAACAGTATTCCGATACAAATGGCTATCTCTTTTTTTTTCGAAGCTGTTTGAACTCTCTTTTTTTTGTTTTCGGATTTTATAGGGTATAGAGTGGGCTTCGTTTTTAGCCAATTGTTTAGTTTGCTTGTATTAGGATTACTTGGTAGGAAGTGGAACCAATTCAGCTTTTTTTTTTAACACGATTAAAAGTGGTATTTTGCATGAATAATCTTGCATCAATACCGTTGGTTCGTGACATCCCACTAGACATAAGGAGCCGTAATTAATATGTTCTGCCCCACAGACACGGGTGGATTGAAGTTATCTCCCCACCATCATGTTTGCTGGTCAGTAACGCCACCCTCCCTCCTTTTATGATGTTAGGCTCTCTTACGTTTGTGGTCGGTATGAATATTGCTTTTATCAAGGACCATATTTGGAATACACTGTCTCTACAAGTTCCATGTTACAAGCAAATCAGATGGTTATAGCATTTGTATTATGGGTTAGATATCCATTTAATATATCGTACTACTATGAATATAACTAATGGTAAAGGTTAGAAGAGACAAGTCAGATTATATGTGGTTAAGAGATGGTAAGGGCTAATTGCAGACCAGAGGATATGATAGTAAATATTGTAAAATTTTCAGGGTAAGAAAAAAAAATAAAACATTGAACAACTCACAAGAATTAAGGACGTATGAGCTTCTTTTGATCAGCCTTAGTTGGTCAGCATCCATAAGATTAGTGAGTTATCTGTCTACTTGTAATAAGAAAAATAAAAGGACATGACACTTAGGAAGAATAATTTGGATTTATCCATTAGAGATTCGGAAACTGAAAATGAGGGTTAGGAGCGGAAGGCCATGGTTAATAATCAATAAATAATGGGGAAGGATAAAGCATGTTTTCTTTAGTTTTGCTATATTCATACTAACGACAATGGAGTTCGTTATATTCTTGTTCCGTCTAGATATTGGGCGGTCCATAATAAAGTGCCTCATTGGTAGGCGGGAGTTCAAGGAATAGTTGGTGAATGTTGGTGAGCGTATGTGTATGCACCCTTCTTATCCTACCTATCACATGTCTGTCATTCATTTTAGTCTGACTATAAATGTTGATTAATGCTTGCTTATAACGAGTTGGCTTACTAGCCATCTCCCATGTATGTTATTTTTTCTTCGCTCGCTAACATTTACTCATGTGCTTACTGCCTTCTAGCCTATGTTATTTGTCAATAAAAATGTAGTTGCCACTTCCCTTTGTCTCCTGATATTATACACCGTTCAGATTGATATAATAACGGTTATCGAGACGATCGATTAACGAAGCACTACACTACACTATTCTATCTGCTACGCTTTATATGGGTCTCTAAATCTTTATGTCATCGGCGAAGAGTAGAACGGATGACAGTTGGTAATTCATTCACATAAAGTAAAAAGAGAAGAGGACTGAATATTGTGCCTTGGGGAACTCCACTTTTTACAGGTTCACACAATGAGAGAGCTCCTTTTACTCTTACCCTTTGTCTCCTGTCATGTAGAAAGTCATTTATCAAGTCTATGACAGTATAGTGAATTCCAAAGTTTCCAGTTTCAATCTAAGACCAGAATGGGAGACCTTATCAAAGGCTTTACTTAGATCCATGAAAAGCACATCTACAGGAATATTTCCTTCTTTTGCAATGAGAAGATTTGTCAAACATGATAGACCTTTCAGAAAATCATGTTGTTTGCTGGTTAAAAGACTGTATCATTCCACAGAGTTTATAACTGCCATCCGATTGATTTTTTTCCATCTGTTTTACAACTGCACTAGTTAAGCAATCGGGACTGCCTCAGGAACATATCAAACAGTATAGCTAAAGGTTCAGCAATTACATCTGATACGGCTTTCATAATCCTAGGATGAATATCATCAGCTCCACTGGACTTATCAGGTTTCAGATGCTGAAGTAGTCTTAAGACATTACCCTTCTTAATAACTACAGGGTCCATCAACAAGCCGCCACAATTACAATGAACAGATGGTCGTTCCTCATTACTGTTAGAAAATATTCCAATAAAGCTTCAGCTTTTTCGGTTTCATTTCTTGCCAATATTAACGGATTTTCTTGTACCAAAAGTGATGGGATTTCATCGCTTCTCTGAGTTTGCTTTTTATATATGAGAATAATCGTTTCGGACTATATTTACAATCCCTAACCAATTGTTTTTCATACGACCGTCTAGTCTTACTAATTAACGCCTTACAAGCATTACTAATCTAACAATAACTTGATCTGTACTGTTCTAAGCTAGTAGAGAGGAATATATTCCAGTGCTTTCCCTTATGTCTAAGAAGGTTCTTGATTTGTTTATTTATCCATGGTGGACTATTATTCGGTCTACGTGGTACCAAGTATTGTATGAACGAGGACGTGACTGAACTAAACTTGCCTTTAAATATATACCATGCTTCTCCAACTCATGAGCTACTATCTACTGACCAAACTGTCTTAGCAGCATACTCCTGAATGGCTGATATATTAGCCCTCCATATTTTTGGGCTAGGCTTAACCTGATCGTATATCATGTCACTAGCTCTAAACGTGAATGATAAAACAAAGTGATCACTAATGGGGGAAGAATATTTACGTTGGCGATATCCTCAATCGCATGAGTGATTACCAAGTCCAACAGAGAACCTTGGTTTACACCAAAACGTGTAGTTTGGGATACAAGCTGTACTTATGCATGCTCCATTACTGTTACCAGGATCCTACTGTCAAAGGAGTTTATAGATCCTTCCATGGTCATCGTAGTCCAGCTAATGTCAGGTGCATTAAAATCGTCCAATGTCATGCATCTGTTATTTGCACTCCATAGTTAAATGTGCTCCAAAATAAAGTCATCAGCTAAGCAGATTGGGCAGTGATAGATGACACCAAGTACAAATGTACAACATCCGATAGTGAGCTCACAGTTAATGACTTCACAAGTTCCACTATCATGGGATTCGCAAACAGAGGAGCGGATATTTATATTATTGGCTATGTATGAAACGACGTCACCTCCTTTCCTGCATCCACATCTATCACTTCCGAAGCAGTGGTATCCGAATAATTCTGCGGTAATTTTGAAGTCATTAACTAACTGAGTTTCCGTCACAATCAGTGCCGTTAATTTGTCCACTAATACTCCTAGTTCATAGAATTTTTCTTAGACTACGATCGTTGGCATATAAAACTCCTAAGGAAAACGACCTATCCACATAAGCCTTAGTAGCATTCGCCTTCAAGACCTTCCAAGACCCACTAATTGGAGTACCGGGGGGCTTCTATGTGTCAGACAGAACTTGCACTCGATACAGACCACAAACTATCCTTTTTTATGTTTCCAAAGGCACTGAGGAGTCTCGATTTGGTTTCTGACAAGAATACCCATGCGCTATTGAAACCCCCCAAAGATAAAATCCAGGACAACTTTGTTCCCTGAGCTCCTTTGATAAATTACCAAAGTGAATGAACAACTGGTACAGAGGGTTTACGTCTATTAGATCTTAGTTACATCCACATTTCTTAATCTTAGTAATTTAGTGACGAGCTCTTAGGAATTAGTTTTTCTTACTTGCTAATAATTCCCAACAACTTAAATATCACCTCTCCTGCCACTATAGTTAGAAGGGTTCCGGAAGCTCAAGGCCACCTAAAATGCTATAGATACCCTAGATTTTCTGCACATGAACGAACTTTAAAGTGAAGCGTTCCTTCCACATTTCGCTGCTTTTTTCTCGGGTTGAAAATGATGTGTAGACTTAGTCTGGGGGTTACTACAAGAGCTTAGGAAACTGAATCAAGAGTTCACTCGGAAGACTTATCAATGCCTTCATACCCGGATATGTATACATACACTAGAATCGCCTTTATTTAAACGACTGTTGATCTAAGTAGTTTTTGACTTCATATATTCTAGGCGATATATATTAGACACCGAATGCTTGAAAAGGATGAATAAGCTAAGCCAATCTCCAAACACTATTGAAATGTGGTGTTCGTACCAACTGATTCCTCTCTAAGTTTACACACCCATCAGTGCCTAACCATAGACCTACAAATTTTTGTCGACCAGAAGCAACCTCAACGAATATCTGGATACCAGTCCACTTGCATTATCTTTACCGTAATTCGCTCCTTACAGCGATCACATGTTACAGGACGTCAAGCTGGACACCATATTACATCCGAGGCTTATATTAATACTTTTCTTTATTTAGAACCCTGGATGTTAGGCTGATTCTTAAATGCTTTCTAAAATACAGACTTGATGTGGTAGATATACTATACAACATTAAATAAAAATTAGACATTTGTGTCTTTATTTATTATCTATACAATTCATCTGTAATGTACAATAGCAACCCAGTTATTAGGAAGTTTCTTTATTTTCATTAGAAATTTCTGGTTGTGGTGTACTGGTTGATGAACAAGTAGGACTACTAGTCGTAGTCGTGGAAGTGCCGATGTTGTTACTGAACGTTGTAGCCGATGAGGCTGTATTAGTGTTCTCCATATTCAAAATAAGTCTATGAAGAGTGGTCGCTTCTCGAGCTTTAGTGAATTCTAAACAGAAAGTCCTCACTTCGATTAAAATATCCTGGAAAGTAATGATACAAAATAATTATACCGAAAGCCAAATATTTGTGGATCAAATGTAAATCCAGTTACACCGTTGCAACTGGTTTTAAAAAATCCAACAAAAACCTCTTCAACGTTAAGAAATTGACTTAACTTGATGTCTACAAAACCAACGATGACAATCCATGGGTATATTGAGACCAATTTTGTTTTCAATTCCGATTAACAGACTAATGTTATCTAGGTATATGACTATTTTTTTATTAAAGGCCACTTAATAAACTGTGTTAGTCGTCTAGAACTCAGTTTGTAAACGCAGTTTGATTAGGATTTATCAAATATAGTGTAAGTTGCTCAAAGTTTACCTTTTTGATGTGTGAATTATGTGACAGTATTAGGTCCCACGGATTATTCAAAATAAGAAACAAATACGATAAACCAGCTCAGAACTTTCATCTCATTCCATCTTGAATTAAGTTATTAAATAAGATTGATCTAAGGTATTTGACCGTGTGGCATCTTAGGGTCGACAGCATAAAACCAGCAACTTGACATAAAAAGTTTGGTTAACATAAGATAATAAGCTTTCCCTTTTCATTACTTGACGTGAAACCGAATGCTGTTACCAAGAAACTACTCACAGTCAATGTTTTTTTTTTATTTTAATCCCAAATTCAATATTTCACATAATGTGAAACGTATTTGTCACAATTATACATGCAAGTACAAAATAAAGACAAATCGATGGGATAAGGAAAATTTCAGGAAACTTTATAATCATGTTTAGTGATACAGTAGTCTTAGAACATTCACAGATAAAACGCATAATCCAGTTCTCTTAACTTAATTCACTCAGTACCATAACCCAGACATGCTACCGTTTACATATAAGATATTGAATGAAGACTCAATCACTTCTAAGTATCATGTAATATTAGAAACAGCACAAAATATCAATTTGTCTGGAAACAAAAATAAAACCTACCTGATTATGAATATCCAATATGTTATTCCTGATCAGTGATTGAAGTAATACACATACCAAACGAACATGTCTCATCTGATAAAATTTATCATTTACTGAATAACAAAATGCTAAACAATTTGATATATAATCTTGTATAAATTCTGTAGGTAATGCAATTTTTGTAGATAATCGATTTACTACTTCAATTGACTGTACAGTAACTTCCATTTTTAGTAGAGCATTTAAGTATCTATATTGGTTTTCAATAGAAAAATGACAACAATTATATGCAAATCCAATTAGTCAAGAAATAGGAAAGAATAAAAAAAGCTTTACAAAACAAATAGTAATTTTAGTAGAGTATTATATCCCGATAACAATAGTGAATGGTAACTTTGGGATCCATTTATGGACCTATATTATGCATATAATTTTTATCGTATATTTGCTAAATAATAAAACTACTCATATTTATGTTCCTTTCATTGTGAGCTTTATTTTGACCCTTGGACTATTATTGTACGACTTAACTGGCTGGGTTAGGCAGAAGCAGGATCGATAAGCGCTCTAGACTGCTCGTACGGTTTTTGCTGCTCTCTGATTGGCGGTCTTATCACGTCATACATTAACTAGGCATCCACTCGGCCAAAAGATAGAACATTTGAAATGACTGATAGTGGTCTATAGATGTCGATATTGTATTATGATCCCAACAAACTTACTTATATTACCAGGTATATGTTCACAAGATTTCCTAACAAACGTATACACACAAAAAACTGATACGGAATACATAAGACATTGCCTACATAATCGCTTTTAACTTAGTTGAATTTAAATTTAAGGGTTAAAGAAAAGTACATCGTGAACACAGTTTACACGTCTTTCGACTACATAACTCCTAGATGACGAACAATAATTAAACTTTACATTTAACAATTACACTATAGTAAGCATCGAAAAGATGAAAAGTTAAAACAATATCAGTGAGTTATTATTTAGCGTGTTCAAATGGTTGATAGGGTAGCTTTAAGGTAACGAAATGAGTATCTCCAGACGAATGACACTACGAATGTCTTCAGGCAGATATTTAAACAACGCAAAGGCAAAAGTAAGGGTAGAGAGAAATTATTTAGAAAAGTTTTAGTAATTCAGTGTATGATATTATGTCAAGTCCTTAAAAGAGGTCATATATATCAAATAAACTGATGGTTTAACATAACGTAGAATCACTTTTTGCCAATACCCTCAGTGGAAGAAACAATTGGCATCATTAGAAAACATTTACAACTTATATCCATACCACAGATATAGCTCAAACAGTCATCAACACTGTGCACTAAGAATGTCTAGTTCAAATTAAACTGTCAAGCAGATGGAGTGGTGGTCGACAATCCTCTCACAGCTTAAGTCCTATTGGCTATAAATATGGGTTGGTGAGAACGTTTTACCACACAGCCAAAAAGTTACGCTCACCAGAAAGGCTCGAGAGGGAGTACAAAATAAAAACAGATTGTCTGCAACAGAATGAATACCCTAAATCAAACTATAAGTAAACATAGTACTGAGTACCGAAGTAAGATGGAAAAATACACATCCAATAAGAAGAATGTTTTTATTTGATTGTCACTGTAAGGTGATCCAATAACAGATAAAGTTAGTCAAGGACTAAAAGCAGCTTTAAAAATCACATTCCTCACAGCGAAACTGACTCCACTGAACAGCAAACTATGTTAAATAACACAAACAAAAGTAGATAAATATCCGTTATGTGTTGCCTCAAACTGAATCTATCTATTAACATGTGCATGCGAAAACCTGTACATTAAAAGGATAGAAAGACGGTTTTCTACTCGTTTTAATGAGTATGTTCCAAAGAACCTGTGAGTTTGGGTAGAAGGTTGCTTACAAAGTCTAATAGCACGCCACTCACTAGGCACGGGGTACAATGTGGATTTAATGAATTATTAATAAAGTCTAATTCTACGCTATCAAAATTCGCAAGTCATAGCAATTAGAAGAGTCTTTGTATTCCAAAAGAGTCAGTCTTTAACCTCCAACTGTTATAGTAATACTTTGACCCTTTTCTTGACTAATTGTAATCATAATCTAGTGAGTTGACCTTACACGTCTACCTTTCCTTTCTAAACTTCAAAAACATATCAACCAATAAAAATTGTCTTAACATTCTAGAAGTATTATGTTAAAAAATTATGGAAACATCCTTATCTTAAAACTTTAACTCTTAAGTCCTTTCACACTAAACACAAATTACTCATTATTGATTGACAATCCAGTTTTATTATTATGTTATCAACTGGAAATAATTAAACATATTAGCCTGTATGTGAGCTGAAGGGAGTTTGATCAGTTTTAATCCTCGACATAAACAAAGAAGAAATACAAACCATTATATACTGAACTGCTGAATTGATTGCCTTGAACAACAAAGTCAAGAAAATATAGACTAAGGAAATTGTCGAAAAAACAGTTCTTGTCATCATAAGACATATTCCCCAATTAACACACTAAATAACAACGAATTATGAAAAGAAGGATACCGAAATAGAATTATAAGCATTACGAACATAAAAATCGAATAAACAAATAGAAGAATTATAACTGAATACACACAAATCGTCAAGGACTTACTCATCTCGTTTCGGTGATGTAATCAACAATTGTAAAACTTCAATAGCAATAACTGGGTTACGGTTAACGAAATTCGGTACCTTTCAAGATTCAGTGGTTTTATGACCCAGGGAAAAAATAACGAAAAACAAGCAACAGTATTACAACCATGTGATTATAAAACCATTCACTAAATTAATGAAAAAGATTGTACGCTAAGACTTCATGAGCATTTCTACCAGACGTACCCGTCATAAAGAATTAAAGATACAGAACGTAATACAATGACATCTAACAGTTTAGTGAAGTTGAATAGTGGCTAACGATGAAATTCAGGATGGGTATTTTATCCTATTTGAAACTAGTCAACTGGGTGAGACCTACATCTCAGTGTTGATATTCACAATGAGACTCGAACTCAATAAATGACGTGTTATCTATTTAGTGATTTCCAGAAAATCCACTCATATGTTGGAGATGCTAAATCTCAAGAAATCAGTTTGTATTGGTTCGTTCCCTCCTTTAATACACTATTCTGTGACGCTTCCCAAGGACCTTTTTATACTGTATATATACGCTTGAGTTGTGTGTTTGGTTCGTCTGTGTTTCTGGCTACTTGTGGAATATACTTTCGTTGTTTGCAAATGTTCCTCTCACAGAAACTATTTATTTTTTATGTGACGATATTGAAAATAATAATCTGGAGATATGTATCCCAAAACACTATCTTAAAGAACTACTCCTACGATGCACGCTCAACGTACAATTTAAATTTAATGATGGTTTCTATAGACAAACAGATGGAGTTGCAATGGGCTCTCCATTGGGTCCTCTTTTGGCTGATTGTTTTATGGCCAATCTAGAAAATTCAGCACTTCGTCCAATAATCGAGAAATTTCATTTATATAAAAGATATATGGATGATATTTTCATAATTTGTTATGATGACATGGTCCACAATGAAATATTAAATATTTTCAATAACTGTCACCCTTCAATTCAATTTACCTTAGAGGCAGAATCGAACCATAAATTCCATTTTCTTGATGTCCGTTCGAAAAGATTGCCTGATGGTTATTTACAAAGATCTATGTATAGAAAACCTACTTGGAATAGACAATACACGAATTTCCATAGTTGGGTTCCACTGAGTAGAAAGAGGAACTTAATTCACTCTTTATCATCTAGGATTAAGCGAATCTGTTCTAGTGACACAATAAATGAAGAATTACTTCATCTTCGACAGACCCTAATCAAAAATGGTTGTCCACCAAGGTTCGTCGATAGCAACTTAACATCTAGACGTCAGCAGGAACTAACTTTGACAGTGCAGAAGAAAACCTTGTTTATGAATATGGAATTCAAGGGAGACACGGCTGCTGAAATCCTGAATAAACGGATTTCAAAAACGTTGAATAAAACTTTCTACACAGCCAAGCTCCGAATCGTTTTTTCTAGCCGGCCTACCATTCGGGGGTGTGTTAAGGATAAACTTTCGCTTTGGGTCACATCCATTTGTACCTATAAATTTACTTGCTCATGTGGGGTACGTTACATAGGCCGCACAAAGCGATCGCTTTCCAAACGTATCTCTGAACACTATCCAGCTTGGCTCCTAAAAGGTGAATGTAAAAAGATAACCAGTTCGATACAAGAGCATTTGATCAATTGTGGACACATTGTTCCAAAAGACACGTCTTTTAAGATAATCTATAGAGTTAAAGGAACCGGATCAAAGGGAGGTCGAATCAATATTTTATGCACTGCTGAAGCATTGGCAATCAATGAATTCAAGCCTGAACTTTGCGTGCAGAAACGATTTGTCCAACCTCTTATCCTTCCTTGGCCCTATTTCCCTCATTGGGTACGTTTTTTTGTTTTTTGTTTTTTTCTGTACTTTTATCTGATTATTATCGGTATTTTGTTTTTTAAATTACTACTTTACATTTAATCTCTAATCAGTTATTATTATTATTACCTTATACAAGTTTTCTTGATTATTACTCAGATTATTATTATTATGACCTCTGTGTTTGTCGCTTTTCTTCATATCTGTCAATTGAACTATTATTTGACCCATAAATTATTTTCTTCCTTACCCCTTGATTAGTACGTCACATCATTTATTTATTGTCGAATCAATTTATAATGCAATCTTTTCTAGCCTCCTACAGAATATACTTTCCCTTAGTTGAACCTGATCTTCTCTCCCCAGTTAGCAGGGCTAATGAGGATTGGAACAGTTTAGTTTGCCCTGTTGTCGTGTTGCAGACCTTCGTTCCGTTCGCCGTTTTTTTAAGTGATATCGCAATCTCTTCAAACATAGTAGAATGAACATATACCAAAATATACTGGTCAATCGGAGTTGTTGATATCAATAAATGGAAAATAAAAACTCTTGAAAACATGACATTTGCTGTTTATTCTGATAGTAAACTATGACAAAAATAATTGTTAAAACATGGAGAGTGATTTCAAGAGCATATTTCAAAGTAAATATACATGTTCATTTTATCTTAATAAAAAATTTTACCTAGCAAAATATTTTCTATTGTTTAGATATTAAATATCAAAAGTTAATAAAGGATGGTAATACATTGTGGGGCCCCAAAATGTCCTGGTACGGCCGAGTAGGGAGAGTCCGCTCTCCCTCTCAAAATGTTTTCACATGGCCACGCGTATATAGCCTCTGCCAGGGAAGTCCTACTCACTGCCTTCTCGCCACATTACTGTTGTTTACGAAATTGTGAGGACGAAAAGCGAATGTCCAGAGCTTTAACCAGGTTGGTGGACACGGCAAGTCCACCTAGGGGAGTTGGAAAACCCTGATTCCAAACCAATGGTGCACATGGGTTCCAGTATCCTGAGGAAACAAATGGCGTATGAATCAATCGTTGGTCACCGGTTACCATGGGACTGCATCTCCTTACGATAATCCACTGCCTTGTGGATCAAATCTTTAGGTCAAAGGCTCCGGATGTGGCTCCCTAAGAAAACCATCTCCTTCAGTTTGGGCACCCGGGTAGTATCACAGCCCTCACACAAATCAAATGAGATTTGTGCAGTGCATATATATCTGGTGCCCCTTTGTACCAATATTTATGTGTTTAAATAAATAAATAAGTAGGAAAAATGGATCTGTACAATTCATATAAAATATATGAAGTACGTTCAATCATTACTATATTTGGCTAACTGAATTATTCATTTATCCCTGTCGATAAATATGTTTATTTAAACTAATGTGCAAATGTAACAACTCTTCAGAATGAACGTTCATCTTTGTCGCAGTTACCATTAAAAGTTAAGTGAACATATTTGTCATACTTAATTTGTGCAAATTATGGATGTTTCTTGATTATTCAGAACAGCTAAAATAGTAAAATTAGGACTAATAACACAGTAACAGTTGAAAGTTAACAGATTAAACCATTAAATATTTTAACCTGAGAAACTTTAACTGTTATAAACACGAGTATACCCTCTATTGGTGATTTGAAAACTAAGTTAAGTATGCGATCAATCAAATCTAGGTAGTAGAAAATATGAATTAGTATGATAAACTTACAATCTCTGGAGTGATACCAACATTATAGATAACATCTGGATTATCTTTAATTGCCTGGACAACAGTTTGTTGCTGAGACTGGGTTAAAGTGGATGTCATGGCTGCAGAAACCAAATGACGAAGCTAATATTAAAAGACAAGAAACATAATTTACCAAGATTATAAAATACAAATGTCAGAAATACATATATTTGATATTAACCCCTTGATAAAGTACTATTTGCAATGAAGCAGACTAGTTTCCATAAGATCACCATTTCATGAAGTTACATGTGTGTTCGTTTTGTGTAATTGAAATGACTGATAATATAGTAGGAATTCAGCATACATACCATGGATTATTACATGGAAATATTCAAAATGTGGAAAATGGTGTAATCTGAGACTGATGTCTACAAAACATCAATAAATCACGCAGAAGCTAAACAGGGTACAGTATTTAGTTGGGTAGACAATCCTTCAGTATGACGAGTGTTACTAGACGACTGAGAAATGACTACGATTAACAGCTATGTGTTATACTACAAACGTTATCGTAAATGTATTGTACTAAAATGCCCTACTACAAAAGTGGGTTTTTAACCTGAGCAGAAAAGAAATTTTAATCGCCATATATCGCTATATACATATATATATATATATATATATATATATATATATATATATATATATATATATATATATATCCTAAACTTTGAAACCCAGCCACGTCAATCTTTATGTGAACGCATACACAATAAAAGTCATTTATACTACTAATTCGAGTAACTTAAGTTAGTAGTAGGTTATGAAACCTATCATGCAAACAATTAGAAATTACTCTATTCAGACTCTTTCACATAAAGAATTATTTCTTTTATCTAAGTCTGAATTTTTACGATCTACTTCACAATCTGCAACCCAGTATCCCAGATTCTATCTAACCATCAATCACAAACGGTATCAACTTTTTAAAGCTTACAGTCTATCTGATTTTTCACATATCACTGCTATAACAAAGGACTCATTCAATTATCTTCAGAATTCGAGCCCTCAAATGCCCTGGTGTGACCGAGAGTGGGGAGAGTCAGCTCTCCCTTTCGAAATGCTCTCACATGGTCATGTGCATACAATCACTGCCACGGAAGTCCTATTCACTACCTTCTCGTGGCATTACTGTTGTTTACGGTATTGAGAGACCGAAAAGCGAATGTCCGGCGCTTTGACCGGGCCGGCGGGCAAGGAGAATCTACCTAGGAGAGTTGGAAAACTCTGATTTCAAACCAACGGTACACATGGGCTCCAGTATCCTGAAGGAACGAATGGCGTATGAATCAATTGTTGATCACCCGTTACCATGGGACTATATCTCTTAACGCTGCCCCACCGCCTTGTTGATCAGAACTTTAGGTCAAAGGATCAGAGTGTGACCTCTAAGGAAAGCACCTGTTTCGGTTTGGGCACCAGGACAGTATCCCAGTCCTTACACAAGTCGAATGATTTATGTGGCACATATCTATTTGGTGCCTCCCTGTACAAATGTTTAAGTGTTCAAATAATAATAATTCTTAGATTTCACTGTAACTAGCTACCAGTAATCTCAAATGTAAGTACTGAAATAAATGCACCTGAGAATTTTAACGATCCACAAGGTCTATTATCTTATTCTAATATCACCAAAGAACTTCGTAAATAAACTCCCGGTAAAAAAAAACTGAAAGTTTGAGAAAAATCTATGTGAAAATTACGTTATAAAAACTGGTGAAAGCACCGTTTTAGCAGATTATCCAAATTATTACACTCGACTGAAAAATACATATATACATTTAACAAGAATTAATCCATTAACTAATAGACAAAAATTGCTAAGTTTTATAAAAAGTGTCAACTGAAAAATCACCTCAACTGTTATATCAACAAGTTCCATATTGTTATTCCAATGAAAATCATGCTCCACAATGTCTGGATTAAGCCAAATAAGTTCTTCTGACCAGCCGTAAGTGGGTTTAGACTTCTTGATAGATTTTTTCTCTGAAGGACTTAAGTTGGAAACTGTACGACTGATAGATTCATTTCCCTCATCTAAATTGTATAAAATCTCATCAATTCCTTGGGGGCACGGTAACAAAGGTGGAGCAATACGAAGAAACTCTGGGAAGACATTATTGCGACCTATTAACAGTTCACTACGTAACAAAATAGAATCTAAACATTGACGTTGTAATTCGGATGTACCATTGCAATCATCTGTGTTATGTAAGTGAAATGATGGCCTACAATAAAAATATAACAACATGAAATTTAGAGAATTCTTTTCAGTGAATTTATTACCAAGTTATACGTTCATATATATATATATATATATATATATATATATATATATATATATATATATATATATATATATAATTTAAAGCTTGATTTCATGAGAAAAATTAACGGTGAATAAACTCGATTTTGTAATGACGGCAATAGCAGAAGTACAGGTCAAGTGATTTTGATGTAATTTCTGTTAGCACGTGTTATAATTATTAATATATATATTCCTTATTACGACCCAGCTATTCCTATTGCTTAGTATTCTTGGACACCAATACACTCAATAAGTCCCCAAATCAGAACACGGTTGAACAGGGAAGAAATTATATTCCAAATAACAAGAATAGATGAAGTAGGAAGTGCAATAAGAAATATGTTAGTATATTCATAGATTTTACATGAGAAGCTTCTAGAGTCTTCCCCAAGCAACGACTAGAGCTGATTGGATAAGAATTAGCCAATCAGCGTGCAGCAACACATCATGCATGAAACATGCTTTAATCCAATCTATGTCCCGCTAACAGCAGGTTATTGTTAAACAGACATTTAAAATGCATTCACTGGTTGAAGGAAATGTATAACAATACATCATTATGAAGTCTGAATTTGTAAATATCACCCAAATTACCACAAAATGTGGAAGTTTGTTCAAAAGTTTCAAAAGGGAGTCTTAGGATACTTGAGAATCTAGAGCAAAGAAACTTACTCGAAAGAACGTGGAATATCTTCATCAGCAACAACACAAACCATTCCAGAGTCAGCGAACTTCGGAACACGACCGGATGATTTCAGTGAATTGGCTACTGGAACCAGATCCCAGTCAAGCTACATTAAATGACAAAGAAGAAAATAGAAACATAATGCTTTTCTAAATGAATTCGATTAAAAGAGAAAGCAAAATAGATATATATTTACACTCACTCTAAGGTCAGTCGAATACGGTAAATCAAATATCTGTGCTGGGGTATATTTCAGAAACTGTTCGTAAAAAAGATAAATTTTGAAGTATGTTAGTAAAAAACACTGCCACATACATCATGAATTTGATCGGGTTGTCGAAGAATTGTATGAAACATTGAAATTGCAGATCGCGGCAACTTGCAATGCACTTCATCCTGCTAAAATTTTGCACACAATTAAGGAATGGATATACGAAACAAACTAACCATAAACGAAACTAAAAATTCTGTGAATGGATTATTATTGATGGAAGAGTTATCTGATTTCCACAAATCCCATAATAAATAAACAGCTGCAAAATGTATTATTGCATCATGAAAGAAGTCATTTTGAAGGAGAAACATCTAAAAATAGCAAACAATTAGTACTCAAATGTATTAACTAACTAAAACACGGCATAGTTTATATCGATCTGATTTAGCGAATTGTTGTTGCGCTGCGCTACTAATACCTTGTAGTGTTTGACGAGAAATCCGATCGGGATGAAGAAAGCTATCAAGACAAGGGAAAGAAACAATATTTTAAACGTTGTTGTCAATTTATGTTATTCTGATCTTCCGGAAATAAGGGTTTGCTCTAGTAGGGACAACAAAAAATGTACTACATGAAGTAATGCGATGGCATTTGAAAAGATGAGTCCGACAGGAAATCTGTTAATTGCATGGAGAAGAAGGATAAAGTTTTCCGAGGGAAGAATGATGCCTTAGAGTTTGTATTAATATTCATGTAGATAATAAAAGAGAATCACTGAAGAGAAATTGGTAACTTTAACAATGGGTTAAGTAGCTTGGTGTAATATAGTGTTTCGAAAAAATTATTTGGTGTTAAGTGGCACACAAATGAATACTAAAACATTCCGAATAACTTTTAATTCATATAGTTGGGTTTCACTTTATAATGTACTAAGGACTATGGTTACAACATTATTAATTCCTTGTCGATGACTAAACCTTTGGGTGAATCAAACAAATCTCAGGCAAAACCGCATATACTAAACTGTACGTCATACAAAGGGAAAACAGACAGAAACAAAGAAATATGAGGACAAAGCAGAAGGACATTTATTACAAATGGAAGATAAACAAGTAGGAAAATAATCACAAATTAGTGAAGGATAAAGAAAAAATAACGTTCGATGTCCGTCAGTAAGAGACAACAAGTGTACCTTTCAATTCCATTAATTCTGCTTTATGCTTGTAAAACAGACTCTTCCATTTAAGGATGTTAAGGAGACGTACTGTAAATAGAAATGAAACCTCTAGTCAATTTACTATTCAGACATCTATGCTGAATCTTTTTGTCGACATTGTAATTTTGTTTTATTACGGAAAATATATATGGTACTCTAAAAACGTGATTTTATTTGACCAGAAGCGGCATCCAAATCTAAAAGTCCAAGCTATTGGTTTACACAAATTCAAGACTTACTTTGATAATGCGATCACGTCCTTGTTGCTAATTGACATTCAGAAATATTTCATTTAATAACCGGACCTAATTTTTTTTGAAATAAAAAAATTCTTAACGTCAAAACAGGAAACAGAGACTGAAGCATCACTTGCATTACATATTTCACACGATGCAGTACAGAAACGATACAATTAAGTCCTTTTTATATGATATTACTTTATTTGGATACGTTTTAACGTTTTGAAGTCACGAACTAATCCTTGGACACTCCCTACTGGTCATCACAGAGTGGAAGAAAGCTAAGAACAGTCAAATAAATACAAACCCACATTGTTCATCAAGACACAAGCAACCACAATGAATAGTGTTTATTTACCTGCTTTTCAAACACTGATCTGGAGTCACACAGTAACTACCAAAAATTATGAGACCCTTTAACCAATGTGCAGCGTTTTCACCAGCCTAGATGTTAATATATTTATGAAATTGTATGCAGTGTTCATTAGACCGTAACCCATACATTCCACACAGACACCCACGTCCTGTCCAAAAAATAGTGAAGTGCTGTTGTGAATTGAGATTAGATTTGGTATTTTCTGATTGTGAACCGTTGGAAGTTTTTTTTAATACACGACAGGATCTATACGAATTGGGTAGATTGCACGACTAATACATATAACATTTCAATGACAGTCCCTTAATTGATTGGGGAACAGAAACGTTTCACAAGCAAGGTGTAATGATGAAGACCGAAGAAAAATTAGATTGCATCCAGGTTTATGCAATTATGTATCGATCATTTATCATAAAGTTTATTAAACTGAATAGTCATCACTTCCTACAAAATTACAGTGGTCCTGAATACAATAAAGACAAATTAAAACTAATTAACCAATATCATACTGAATATATGTGATTTTAAAATTCATTTTTTTCTGTGATAGTTGAGGGCTCACCACTGCCAAGAGCTGTTAGGAAAGATCGATTTCTGGGATTTTAAAGCCGTCGCACAGTGAGACTGGCTTAATTAAACTTGTTTATTTTGTTGAAGGACTGGATAAGACCTAGTTATAGTCCTCAATTCACTGAGAAATACCTTAGCATCTGACAGATGCTATTTAACTACAGGTGTCTTAGTAATATTGCTTACATCTGCTGGGATCACCAGGTAAGTAATAGTGAAGTTAGACGCATGGTATTAAAGAGTGACGTTAAATCAGTTCATGAGGTTGTGAATCTTCATCGACTAAGATGGTTGGGCACGTGTTACGTATGCCTGAACACCGATTACCACGACGCGCAATGCTGACTAGCGTTGGAGACGGTTGGAAAAAAGTTAGGGAAGACCAAACCAAAACGTGACACCAGTCCCTGAAGTCACTAACCCCTGGTCTGAACCATGTTGGTAGATGCAGTCTACTTGGTTGTGGTCCGCGCGACTATTTTAACCAATGGTTGGAGACTGGATGACGGCTCAGAATCGATCGATGGTGTAGGTGTCAGTCAGTCAGTCATTCAGCGACAACGTAGGACCAGGCACATATATGCATCGGTTCAAGTTGCCATACCTCGTTAGCACAACAAGATGAACACCGGATTCATAGAAGTAATTAATTTAGTGGTGGTAGTATATAAAGAAAGGTTGTCGGTGTATACATTCTCTGTTTTCCCTTAAACCATGAGATTAAAATGGCTTTACACCTTTCTTTCTACGAACTAGTTCTTTCTCCCTGTATTATTTCCTTATACGCAGTCTTTCTTTTATATACTAGTACCACTGAAGCAACTACTATGAATTTGGTGTTCATCTTGTTGTGCTAATGAAGTGCGGCAACTTGGACAGATGCATATATTTTACTGGTCCTACGTTGTAGCTAACCGATGGACTCACCAGCATTTTATATGTTCTTATTTTACTTGCCCACCAGGACAAAAAAACATTGCGAACACTTCTAAAGAGTTCATAAAAGCAAAACTACTTATTTTTATCTGCTCACTTAATTTCTCATTGAAGCATCAAGTAAAGCTGTATCTAAACCTCTGCCAGGGAAGTCCTACTCACTGCCTTCTCGTGGCGAGGGTGTTGTGTACGAAAGTGAGAGGACGAAAAGCGAATGTCCGGCGCTTTAACCGGGTTGGTGGACAAGGCGAGTCCACCTAGGGGAGTTGGAAAACCCTGATTCCAAACCATTGGTGCACATGGGCTCCAGTATCCTGAAGGAACAAATGGTGTACGAATCAATCATTGATCACCGGCTACCATGAGACTGCATCTCCTCACGATGCTCCACTGCCTTGTGGATCAGATCTTTCGGTCAAAGGCTCCGGGTGTGGGCCCCTAAGAAAACCACCTGCTTCAGTTCGGGCACCTGGTCAGTATCACAGCCCTCAAGCAAATCGAATGAGATTTGTATGGCGCATATGTATCTGGTGCTTCCTTGTATCAATATTTATGTGTTTAAATAAAAAATAAAAAGCACGTTTTCACAGCTACATCTATCCATGCATTCAAAGGCTAGATCATCTGGAAGACCTAGAGAACCAGGATTAACGTACGCCTTAAAGTTTTCTATCCCTATGAAACCTAGAGTAGGGAATTAGGATGGGTTAGGTACCATGTCCACAGAATTGTCACTTAGTGGCTGTTGCGATTATATGGTGTGACGACTTGAACTTATGCAAGCATGTACTAGATTCTACTCTGCTCATGACTGGCTGACAAAGCTAAAACAAAACCAACCAGTTTAAATTACTTTTGAGATGGTAAAAAAGGTCCTACAGTGAACTTCTGGATGATGAGTCCTTATTAGAGAATTACGAAAACCAATTGGTGAGTTAATGTAAAATATCATCCACCTGATGAGCAGCCTAACCAAAGTTCCTTCATAAATCCCGAAGTCCAAGTTAGTATGTCTGTTAAGCTACTTAGGAGTTTAGAAGATATATTATTAAGGGCTGTGGAGAATATATAAAAAAATTGACAAGAACTCCAAACGAAACACATGAACCGATCACTCTGGCATCCTTTGGAAGTAAATTTTGGAGAAAATCCTGCATATTTAACGAAAAACCTTGGAACACTCCCAAAAGTGCAAAACAGTGGCTATAGATTCTCACAACTTAGAACCTGGTACGTATGTACATTAGGTCAAATCTCCATACCCTATTAGCACAGAGAGGTCAGGCCAAATCCATGAATAATAGAGGTGGTGACAGTATCAGAAGTGACAGGAATGATTAATCAATGAAGATACCACTCAAAAAAATCTAGATCAGTGGAATGGAAACAAAAAAATTCACGAACTCAGAATTTGTATGAAGACAAAGAACGGATGCACTTGTACCATTGCAAATGAGCTATGTCACTGAAAGTCTCTAACCATTATTTACGATAATCACATGGACCTCAACCAGTTAGTCTAAACTTATTACCATGGCCCAGTCCGATTATTGGTGTTTTCATGGACTGGTGCCATGTTTTGGTTTATCCGCACTTTGCTTCCTCCCAGCCTAGTCCTACACCAGAAAACACCGACTGTCGGTGTAGACAGCGGTCGAGGATACGTATCAACGGCAGTTGTTTTATTTAGCCAGTCAGTAAAACAATTCGCTCAGAAATAGGATAAAAATGCAACAGCACTTATAATTTCTTGCAGTGCACTTCATCATAAAGGTTTCCAAAGAATGTTATTTACGATGAACAATGGTTTATTACCTCCCTCACTGGGTATTTTTGATGGTAGACGTGAGACAGACAAACCACTGCTATAAATTAAGGGATAACATATATAATGTACCCATAAACAGAGTACTACAACGAAAAAGACTCGATAATTTGCGAAAATCAGAATGACCGACCTTAACCTTGTAGCGTCAAACGACCTTGGTGGGCTAAAAGAAGCAGAGACATTGCAATTCAGTCTTCAGTCTTCAGTAATAAGGATAGTAGGTTGACGAACCTGTGTTAATTCTGACAGATTTCCTTCCAGTGAAGATCCAGCTTCTTTTTGAAAATGTTCACTGATGGTTCTGATACCACTTGTTCTGGTAAAGCGTTCCAGTCATTGACCATTCGATGAGAAAAACGGGACCCCACCTTTAGTTTATTAGATCGCAGTTTCTGAACCTTCTTGCTATGACCTCGAAGATTATTAGTGCTGTAGGGGGGAAAAAGATAAGACATATTAACACCCAGATCATAATTAAAGATACGAAATGCCAGTATAAGGTCACCTCGTGTCCTACGATAAGATAAGGGGAAAAGGTTTAGACGTTTTAAACGCTCATCGTAAGGGAGTTTGGAAAGACCCCTTACTAATTTTGTCCCCACACGCTGGACACACTCAAGCGATTTAGTATCCTTTATCAGACATGGGCTAGCTGCTTGGATACAGTATTCTAAGTACAGTACAGTATTCTAAGTGTGGCCTTACATAGGTGGGATATAAAATTCGAAACATATCCTCGTCGAAGCATTTAAGTGACCATAGCGCACGATAGCCTTTGGAAGCAACGGCATTGCAGTGCGTAGTAGTTTTCAGGTCGTGACTTATAATTACTCCTAAGTCTTTGTGCTCTCGAACGCGTGGAAGAGATGTACCATTAATGGTATAGTGGTAACTAATATCGTGCCCGATGTGCATGAACACGCTCTTCCTGGAATTAACTTCCAGGCTCCAATCATGAGCCCACCTAACTAACTCGTCTAAATCTGCTTACAGATATCAACGATCAGTCTCATTTCTTATTGTTCTCCAGATTTCGACATCACCCGCAAACAATAACGTCGACTACTTAAGTTTATTTATTTATTTAAACACATAAATATTGGTACAAGGAAGCACCAGATACATATGCGCCTCACAAATCTCATTCGATTTGCTTGAGGGCTGTGATACTGCCCAGGTGTCCAAACTGAAGCAGAAGGAAAAGTAAAGGGCCTAAGATGGTGCCTTGGGGTACACCACTTTTGACCCGTTTTCATTCGGATAGCGTTCCATTGACCCTTACTCTCTGTCTGCGGTCACATAAGAAGCTTCCTATCCATTTCTGTATAGCACCTGTTATTCCAAAGCTCGAGAGCTTTTGCATAAGACCTAAGTGTGAAACCTTGTCAAACGCTTTGCTAAAGTCTATGAATATCACGTCGACAGACAGGCCGTTGTCTAGGGCAGCTGTCCAATCCTCTCTCGCAATGAGTAAGTTAGTCAAGCATGAATGCTTGTTACGAAACCCATGTTGCTCGGGAGTTAACAGATTGTACGAATGTATGTGACTCAGTACCTTAGCCCGAATTAATTTTTCAAGTAACTTAACTACCATGCTGGTCAGGCTAACAGGCCGGTAGTTAGATACGATCCGTCTCTGGCCATCCTTAAATATAGGACTAACTATGGCGTCTTTCCAGTCTCTAGGTTGTTGAGCCTGTTAAAAGGACATGTTGAAAAGCATCGTGAGCGGTCTTGAGATAATGTTCGCAAGCGATGACAGCAAACGTGGGTGTAACCCATCGGGGCCCGGTATCTTACAAGGTTTTAGGTTGGTTATCAAAGGAAGAACAATATCCTCTGTCACGTGTAAAGGTCCTATGGCTGGTATCTCATTGTCAACGGGACAAGTAGTTGTAACACTACACGTAGACTTCACTGAAATATTTAGCAAATGTCTCCGCTTTCGCTAGATCAGATGCAGCCAATAAAGCCAAATTTTCGCTTAACAGTAACGAGTGGATACCATCACTACGTTTCGTCCGCCTTTTAACATACGAAAACAGTCGCTTCGGACAGGTACGGCTATCGTATGCCAACTGTCGTTCGTAAGCCGTGCGGGATTTAGCTATGGTCTTTTTACATATATTCCAGATTTTTTTATATTCGCACTTAAATGATGCCTGACCTGTTGTCAAGAATAAGTCCCAGAAGTGTTTCCTACGCTTCAACAGCTTCTGGGGTTCCTTATTAATCCATGGAGGGCAATATGATAGCTTACTAGCTGACCATGGGATAAACAGTTGAGTTACGGATTCGAACTTAGACTTAAACCTATTCCATGCATCATCAATCGATCCATCAGCATCGACCGACCAGTCAACCGAGATAGCATAGTCCCTGATTGCCGGAATATTAGCTCTCCAGATATTAGGACGGGGTGGAGCAGATGCAAATTCTATACCATGTATCCAGAACTTAAAGGAAAGTACGGCATGGTCACTATTCACCAGTGGGGGAAGGTGTTGAAAGTCGACGATATCTTCGCAGTGATGTGTGAGGACAAGGTCTATCAATGACGGATTATGTTCCAAGTCTATATGCGTCGGCTTAACGATACATTGTACAAGTGCACATTGAATAATTGATGACAGAAGGGCGCTATCGAAACCCCCACCTGCAGCTGTGAGCTCTATCCAGTTTATATGAGGTGCATTGAAGTCTCCAACGATGAGACAACATTCTGCCTTACTCCAAGAACAGACGTGTTTTAGGATAAAGTCGTCAGCGAGACAACACGGACTACGATATATTCCTCCTATCGTCACTAACCCGTTTCTAGACCTAATTGTACAACATACTACCTCACACGTACCACTTACATGCGCCTCCGATATAATAGAGTTTATGCGGAAGTGATCCCTAACATATAATATTATGCCTCCTCCCTTGCGACTTCTAACTCTATCACTTCTGATACAGATGTAGCCTGAAATGACTGCAGAACAGTCTATATCTACAGTGATCCAAGTTTCGGCGATAACAATTATATCCGGATTTAATTCGTCAACGATCAAACTTAGCTCAGACATCTTATTCCGAAGACTGCGGACGTTCGTGTAACACACATTTAAGGTGTTTTTGGAGACATGCGTTCTACCCACACATGTCTTGGAAGACAATGCTTCCGAGACTTGACTACCCAAAAACCCTTAATCGTAACCTTCGTTTCACCGTTTAGCTTTCGAGTTTTTAACTCTGTTAGGGCATTCTTCCACTTGGTCCGATCCTCAAGTGGCCAGTCTGGTCGAATACGAATATTTGAGTCCCGAATTTTGCGTGCGTTATTTAGTACTACGTCCCTTTCCTCAAAATTACCGAGTACTAATTTAGGGATCCTTCTCTTTTGGGTTTCGCCTCCAACATATTTACCGAGTCTGATGACTTTCGAGATATGTGCCCCTGAGACCTCATCGGGCAGTACATTTCTGATGAAAGATCCAACTAACTGCAGGTCGTGGGCATGTCTCTTAGAAGGATCGGTGTCTTTCGATTCTTCCAAGTTCCAGATGACTACACTAGGGACCTGTTTAACTTCCTTATAAGTCGTGTCCACGGCTTTCGACCGTGATATCAGATCCTGCCGGTTAGCTACTGGCTTCTTACTGTTAGCTTTCTTTATAACAGTGTCGTGTGAGTCGAGCGAGTGACTCACAACAATTGGTTCAATTGTTCCTGAAGATTGATAAACGGTTGTGTGTGCACTTGATGTACTTCCAAACAAGATCGCACGTACAGGGTGACTCCGCCCCCCCATACCTAATTTTCTGTCGTTGCGATACAAACTCACCTCTGGTGTTGCCAGCTCTAGGTCCTTAATTTGAGAAAATATTCATGTTTCAGATATTCTTATCAGAAGAGTATTCCTAGCATAACTGAGATCACGCAGCTTATTCATCTAGTTGGGTAAAATTGTGACTTTCATACATAAGCTGGTTACGCTTTTAAATTCAAAAGCGTGTGGTTCCCTGTCAAGTATGGGCCCTATGTAAGTGGACAGTTAACCTAATTACACAGGGTTTTCTGTTTTGGTAATCCCAATATCAAACATTCAACATTTTTGTCACGAGCTTGTATGGACCAGTCGATTCATTCACTCTCGCTACCTCTTTTCTCAGTACGGTTCCACGCATTTGGTAATGCTCAGTGGGTGGTGGTCTAGCCACTTGAGTGAAGTAATTCTAATCAGCTTAATAGTTCTTTGTGGATTTATATGTTTTGTGGTTCGAGTTAGTCCGTTTGTCTCAAAACAGTAGGGATCCTAGATACCAGCAGCTATCACATTACCAGGAACGAGGCCAGCTGGTTGTAATGTGAAATAATAAAATGATAATTTGAGTGCTAGGGGATGAGAGGGGGCAACGACATTGTGTGTTTTAATGTGGGGCTATGTGTACATCTTGAACAGTTCTAAGAACAACTCTTGAGTGATTGCCTCAAGTTGTCCACTAATAAAGTAGAGAGTTGCGTTCGCCTTGGCTACATTCCCTATGTAATTTACACTGATTGCTAGTCTCTTTGTAGTTACGAGCCAGAGATCACCTACTGAATCAACAATCGAGGGCACATTTCCATGGGGAGTGTAGGTACTTTGTGTCACCTGAGAAAGAACATTCATGACATGACATTTCTACGAGTTGCAACTTAACCCATTTCCTACTAGCCAATCCTTCATTGTTGTAAGGTCCTTTTGAAGCTGAAGTGAATCCTTTCAGCACTTTACGAGCTTCCAGATCTTTGCATCGTCTGTATGGATCAGTGATGATGAGTTAATTTTATCTAGCAAATAGCTAATAAAAACTAAAAACAGGACTGGACCAAAGATTTTTCTTTGTGAAATTCCCGATGCTGAGACGCTCCCACTCGGGTGAGCCCTCTATCTTGGTACGAAACGTACTGTGCTCCGGGTAGTTTCAGAGCCGGGATAAAAGTAGGTCAGTGAAACCCATCTTTTCAACATTAGCTGTGGGAGGTAGATAAATCATTATGTTAAATAATCGTGCTAAAGCACGGAATATTACATGAACCAGTATATTATGGGCCGTTCAGCTTTCTCATGCTGTGACTAGGTTTGCCGATCAGGA